TAAGACTTAAGCCACGGAGGTTCCAGGTATAAAGCTATAAACCTTCATGAACAGCAGGTCACTTCATCAGATGCATAGATTGGCTAAACTGATGGGGGCAGAGGGTGGGATGAAAGACAGGTTAATTAGTTATGCATCTCATGAATGATAATTATCAAATGAAGGCAAATATATGTGTCCCAGGATAATGTTGCAGGATCTGATCTGAATCAGTCACTGGGACAAGAGGTTTATTCTTCCAAGCATGGACTCATGCACGAGCTTGGAACATGGATATCAAATTCACTGCGTCACGTTGCCATCATGTGACGTATCATGACATTTTTCTTCCTTTTGCGGAGCTGGGGGTTGGCGTGGCCTGAACATGACACATCGGGCCTGTGGGCTGCCAGTTTGACACCCCAGTTTGGAAGTCCCTGTGACTGACTGAGATCGGATCCTACAAAAATAATTATTTTCCCTTTTACCCTAAGGGAATATCAAGCTTTGGTTTCTCACATCCAATTTTAAAAACTGGAGCTACACTGGACAATAGGTGATGCTATTCTTTTAAATTCTTAAAATAATATCTGATGAGCAATCACATGTTATTTTAAGAATTTTGCAATAGAAATTATAATCTGCCTTCTTACTACAGTATTGTTCCCCATTCATATGAAACTACTGGATAGTCATTAAATAAATCCATACCTCCTCTCCTGTGATCGACAGCCAAATAAGCAGAGTTTAACACCAGGATAACAAACTTATTTAGGGGATTGGAGGCTGTAACATATGAAGAATGGTTGCAGGAACTGGGATGTTTAGTCTGACAAAGAGGAGAACTGGGGGGGGGACATTAAATGATAGCAATTTTCCATTATGTGAGAGTGTGTCACAAAGAAGAAAGGGACAGTTTTGGATCCTATTCTCCAAAGCACCTGAGGGCAAAACAAAAAAACCACAGATGGAAACTTATGAAAAGGAGAGCCAGCCTAGAATTAAGAAGAAATTGACTGACAGAATCAATTAGTGGAATAGGTTGCCTTTGGAAGCTGGGTCCTCCAACACTGGAAGTTTTTAAGAAGAGGTTGGACAGCCATTTATCCAATGGTATAGAGACTCCTGCTTGAGTAGAGGTTTGAACAAGGCGGCCTTCAAGGTTCCTTCCAATTATATTATTTTTATTCTATATCAATACCAAACCAACAATCAAGAAGTAAACAATATTCCAATCAAGAAACAATTAAGACCACTTCCACCAACTTTGACAGGGTAAGCCATTTGCAATCCCCCTCCCTTTTAGCACTGATGGTATTACCTAGTCAAATAACAAAACCTCTGCAAGAAATCATGCAAGCTCAGATAGCACAATGGAAATCCACTACAGAATAACCATGATCACAGCTGCAACACACTCAATGTTGGCTAAAATGAGAAATGTATTTTCAAAGAAATATTAAGTCAAATTACATTTTTTTCTAAAATGGTGAATGCTTTCAAATGTTCAATATTTCTGCATAAAGATGTAAATTCTAAAACATTTATACAAGTCCTAAAACTAGACAGATATTTATCTAAAGATTTCTGTAACAAAAGTATGCAAACCACTATATACTCTGCATATAGGCAGCATAAAGAAATACTTTAAATCTGGAAATGCCATCAGAGTTAGTTTTATTTCAACTCTCACCAATGCAGCAAAGACACTAGTACAGTATAGTATAGTACAGCTTTCCCATAAGCAGTCATCTCTGTTCTCTTTAGAATCTGTAATGAAGCACACCTTATAACCTGTTTTCCAAACAATTTTATTTGTAGTTCCACACTATTCTATAGCAAACTTATAGGGCTAAATTTATTCATTATATTCATATCCAACTTTCACAGAGGAGATTAAGTCATAGTGGCACTCTTTCTATTTTTCTGCAGAAAAGCCATCCTTGTGAAATAGGTTAGGCTGCTCAAGATACTCCATGAACTTTTCTGAATGAGGGTAAAGTAGAACCTGGTTCTCTCCCCATCTTGTCCAACACTTTAACGACCATCCCACTGTGGGAAGCCACCCCCAACAAAGAATGAAATATTTTGAGGAATATTAAAAAGGTAGAATATATTTCCCTGAAGGAGAAATGAAGAAGCATGCTCTTAAAGACAGAAAGCAGCTCCCAAATCTTTCTTAATAGTCCACAGAAAATGCCAGCACTTAAGCAATAAAAAGCTTATTGGAAGATGAAGGCAAGTATCTAGATAGCACTATTCATAAGCAAGGCAAATACTGCAGGCAGAAATCCATTCAAGACAGGATATTTTGAAACTCCTTGAAGCACAGCTAACAAAGGCAGAATGAGAGGATTAGAAAGCTCCTCACCCAAGATCCAACACAGGATGAAAGCCATTAGCCACAATTGGAATTGCTCAACACCCTTTCAGAACACAAGCCCCTTCAGAGCAGTTCAAACTTCAAAGTCATAGAAACCTATAAAGATCCATCCACTCATTCAACTATTTCTTCAGCTGACCCAGAACTCTGTTTGTCAGAGGTCTCCAAACTTGGAAATTTTAAGACTTGTGGACTTCCACAAGTCTTAAAGTTGCCAAGTTTGAAGACCCCTCGTATTGGTGGTTCTGTTCAATAAACTATCTTTCCAATCAGCTTCCATGTTTTTTCCAATGCCTTTCTCCCTGCTTGGAACTGAACCAGGTTTATTTTCCTTCCAACACCAACCTTGCAAGGGAGGCTTAACGAAGTTTGGCTGGGGCTGAAGGCAATTTTTGTTTTCAAGTGCCTTGCTGGCACGAGACGCCAAATCACTAACCCCATTTACTGCATTAAACTAACTGACAGCATAACACCCCCATATGGAGACCGAATGGAGCAAGTGGCCAGTTTTAAGTTTCTGGATGTTACCCTAAAAGAGGACCTGACCTGGGATGCTCACATTGCAGCCCTGGTCAAAAGGGCCCAGCAGAGATTGTACTACCTCAGACTTCTCAGAAAACAACAACTGAATGAAACACTGCTGCTACACCATAGAGAACATTTTAACATACAGCACCTCTGCATGGTTTGCCAATTGCACAGTGGAAAGCACCCCAGAGGGTTAACTCATTGCCCGGAAGATCAATGGTTGCCCTCTCCCCCTCCTTGAAAGAGCTTTATAGCTCTCGCTGCCTTAAGAAAGTTCAAAACATTCCCAAAGATCCATCTTATCCTGGGAACCCTTTTTTTGAACTATTACAAATAGGCTGAAAAACAGCTTCTATCCCAGGGCAGCAGCTCTTTTGAATTCTGCTGTATAGTGCAGTGTTGGTGCGGTGTCGGGGGTTTTCAGTTCACTGTGCGGAGGGTGAAGGATGTGTGCTTGTGTTTATTTTCATGGTCATGATGTGCACTGAAAATGGTATTCGATTTCGTTGTACGAGGTGCAATGACAATAAAGGAAGCTAAACTAAATATACAGTACGCAACCTTAAACTAATCACGCCACGTGTGTTCGCACAATAAGCTAAACCATAAACTAGCCATGAACGTTTTTTTTAGTCCAGCAAACTAATTCCTGTCGGAATACTGATAATGGAGCGGGAGGGGAGGCGGAAGGAAAAAAATTAAAATAAATAAAAAGATGGATGACCGAATTAAATTTCCCGCGGGCGAGGCCACCCGCTTACGGGCCCCTCACCTGCTGGCAGGCGCGGAGCTGCCGAGATCCGGGCTCCGGGGACGCTTCAAAGACTGCCGGTAGCCGCTCGCCATCTCGTCAATCTCGCGAGGGCTTCTGAATGAAGGACTTTGAGCGCGAACTTCTCGAAGCACGAGCGGCCACTTCACGGGTGCCGCCTCTTCTGGGCGTTACGGGTGTCATTCCGCGCGGATGCATCTGCTCACAGCTTCCTTGCTAAGCTGTACGGAATTCATTCAAGCAAAAGCAGGGATCTCCAAACTTTGCAACTTCTTGTGGACTTCAACTCCCAGAATTCCTCAGCCAGCTATGTTGTTCTCTTTCCTCTTTTATAGCTGATAAACTTGCAGGTTGAGGTTGCAAAAAACAATGAAATTATTCTCTTCAAGAATATGCCCTTGTGATATTTTCAGACTTCTCAGCGCAGGTTGCCTTATTTATGTATTTATTCATTAGATTTTAATGCTACCAGTATTACTTTATAAGTAACTCAAGGCAGTGAACATTCCTAATATTCCTTCCTTCTGTTTTCCCCACAACAACCCTGTAAGTGCATTGGGCTGAGAGAGAGTGACCGACCCAAAGCCCCAAAGTCAGCCAGCTTTCATATTTAAGGCAGGACTAGTACTCACAATCTCCTGGTTTCTAAGCCAGCACTTTCATCACTACACCAAACTGGCTCTTTTAAGGCAAGTAATAGTGATTGTTTAAAAGTGTTTAAAATGCTAGGGAAATTATATCTTCTGCCAGGTCCACCCCACATGTCCCTGATAGTTGACTTGAATTTCCTGCAAAAGTTTTTAACAGGGCAATAGCCAAATGCAACATTTAGTTACATGTGCACATGGATTACACTGAGCCATTTGGTTTGTTACTTGTTGATTAAGCAATCATGCTACTGTTGGCATGTTGCATGTTGCTTTTCACACACCACTGCCATAGTTAACCATGGTTTGTGGAATACGCTTAAATTGACTGGATTAACACCACACTAAAACAAAATCTAAAATCAGATATACAACCTTGTGTTAAACATGTTAAATCACAGTCTAACCTGATTTTTCTTCTAAATGTATGGTGTTATGGACCTTTTATAATGAATTTGGGAAAAATAGGAAAGTTAGGATGAAATTAGCTAAGTGAATGTTTTCTTTGAAGCATCTTATTCGGCAGTCTTTTGAAAATAAAATCTAGCCTTCTTCCATAGGATTCTTTGCAGGACTTAGTTTACTGAGAATGAATGGGTTAACTGCCTTGTTCACATGCTATGAGTAGATTCCTCTGAACATTATAGGGTGGATGGACTAATATTTCATGTGGGTGGGAGTTTATGTCTCCACCCTTTCCTTACTTTTTGGCTTCCTGTTTTATAAGGAACTTGGATTGCCAGGCACGGACGTTTTACCTTCTTCCCTTTTTGGAAGAGCTGCCAAAGGTCACGCAGCCAGGGGCCCACTCTGCAAATGTAAGGGACAAGCTGGCCAAACTATGATCCCACTGGGGTTCTTTCAAGTTTTAGTAATTCCGGTAAGTGGAAATTTAAGGAAAATGGCTGAAGGAGAAAGTGAAACTCTGGGGGATATGAACATAAATGCGGAAGGAGAACATTATTTACTAATATATTTGATTTATTTTGTATTTGTTAATCTGAATTGGGTGGTTTCTGTGGGCCAGGCATAATATAGGAGAGAATATTTATGTTAGGTCACTGAATTTTCTCCTTGTTTGTCTTTCTCTGTTGGTTGATTGATTCTTCTTTCCCTGAAGATTTGGCAGCAAACTTCATAAAACTTTGCCTTCGGAAAAAAATATTTTAGTGTATGGACCTCTTTTAGTTGGTGAGGGTTTTTTGATGAGTATACAGGATTTTATTTGCTTAGATAATGTGTTTTTTGATTCTCTAATTTTGTTAATATATTACTTGAAGGAGGTTAGAGATAAATGAGAATGATTTTTAGCCCTTTCATTACTATTAACTCCCTTGATATCCAGGAGATATTCAAAATAGGGCAGAGTAGCTGTGAATGTTCACTTCCAGAGAACACTTCCAAAAAAATCAAATCAGTCACACAAATAAAGGGAGAATGATTTAAAAAACAATGTTCCATTAGGAATCATATTTTGTTGTTCATCCAGAGGGAAAAAAACATTTATTTTTTTTAAAGAGCCCAAAATACAGATTTCCAGTTTCTAGCCAGCTTAATTTACTAATCAGCCACATAGGAATAAAGAGACTTGTTACATTGAGGCCTGAAAGCATTAGCACATTAATAGCAGCAGCCCATACTCTGGAAAACTCCCCATTAACTTTCCACAGTACAGATTTCTTAAACTGTCTACAGTTGTGGACCTATTGTATATTCTTGATCGAAGATTGTTACACTCCTATCTGGGATAGTATCTTCAATGAGGGAGGAAGAGAATACTTGCCTAGGCAGCCAGATCAGCCAAATCAACACCGGTGATCAATGAGGTTACAGATATCACAGCCAGATTGCCCTTACATCCAAAATAAAGCATTTGAAAGGTTTTCATTAAAAATCTATGAATACTTATATAATGCTTAATACTTTTTTTAAGAATCAGCAGTTTGTATATGTATCCATGCTGTTATAATGATTTGCTATACTGTACTGCATTTACCAGTTTGATGTAGTGATTGAGGTGCTGGCCTAGAAATCAGGAACTGTTGAGTTCTAGTCCCACCTTAGGGATGAAAGCCAACTGGATGGTTTTGGGCCAGTCACTTTTTCTCAGCTCTACCCACCTCATAGAGTTGTTGTTGTTGGGAAAATATAAGTAGGAAGGGTATTAGGTATGTTTTCTGCCTTGAGTTATTTATAAAAATAAAAGGGGGGGGGGATAAAATAAATAATAAATGTACCTCCTATTTGGTGGCATGTGGGTAGCAATACACTGAGTTTCAAGGCAGATCCTAGTTTAGAGATTCTGTTAGCATGCTTTGAATAAAACTGCCTTGTGTCATACTTGCCAAAAAGTATAACATAATGAATGTTTTCCAAGAGATAAATATGATTGTACTCTTGGAGATGAAATTAATGAAAATGATAATTGCTTGAAATCAAGACTTTTCTAATCTAAACAAAAATTCAAATATGGTGTTAAAGCAGAAGTATATGTGTATTGTAAATAAAAAACGTGACTGTGGTTAAAAATTTGCACTTATTTATATTTTACATTTAATAAAAATATTTCTAGGTTGACCCCATCAACAAGGGTTCTGTATATACCGTAATTCAGCAAAATCATACTAAAAATGTGACATATACATTCTTATTTGTAAAAAATCTAATAGGTGTTCTTTAATTTAAACTACCTCAAGGATTGGATGCGTGCAGAAATAGCATTGCTTTGACTCCTTTACATACAGCATAGGGGCCATCTGTATTAAAGAATAAGGGCTGTTACTAAGATAGAGTGTTCCAGTACTGTTTGAGGAGGGAGACCTCTCCAGAGCCCCTTGCTTGATGACCAGTTGGACAGGGGATGAAAAATTGAGGCAATTAATAAAGGATGTAAGAGTGATAATTGCAGCAAACCTTTATTTAAAAACTAACAGAAATAAAAGAAAAGGAACCATGAAAACATGATCGTTGAAATGATGTGATTATGAGGGAAAAATCTATTTAAGATAAAGATTGTTGCAAACATGAGACTGAAAGGAATCTAGTAAATCGCTGCAAATAAATTTCTCTGTTGGCTTCAGATCATAATTTCAACTAATTAGAAACAGCAGACATAGGTGAATCCAGGATCTGGTTTTAAAGGTTGAGTGGGGTGGTGTGCATGATTAATGTACTCCAGTGATTAAGAGTGTCACCTGAACACTTTTTTACTATTTTGTATGAATTGAGCCCATCATGTCTTATTCAACAAATTATGGTTTGAATAGTTTGAATAAGTATCTATTTCTTAGCATGAATTGTGAATCCAGTTATTATTTCTAAGTAAATATGGAACTGAAGGATAGAATAGAATAGAATAGAATAGAATAGAATAGAATAGAATAGAATAGAATAGA